ACACTAGCAGGCACGTAACCAAGGGGGGGCCTGGGGGGACACAGGCCACCCCCACAAAACCCTGTGCCACCCCTGGTGCCCCCTTAAATTAATTTTAAATTTTAAAAGTAAGCAAATTCGAAATTTCAGATCAACAGTAAATTTTAGATGTGAATAATCTTATGTTCTTATCTTGTAATATAACTCTCTGAGTAAAGCGATACTGCTGTGAACAGTTTTGGTTTTGTCGATAACTTTTTTAAGCAATTAGCCGATACAGCAGATATGCCTTTTACACACTATGCAGATTGACACGCAGGCTTTTGATATTTTGTGGTGTTAGTTTTCCGGAGTCTTTTGTCCCGTATCGTTCAACTGTGTCTGTTAAAAATGTCAGAAAAAAAACGAACGCTTTCAGATTATTTCACCGCATTTAAAAAACTGAAACCTGGTGAACAGACTGCTAGTGATAGTGCAGAAACTATTTGTGAAACTGCAAGTAGTGATCCAGGACCTAGTAAAATAGACGAAACTTTAGAAGAAAGTGATGAGAGTTTTGAAAATCTGCAGTCAACGGATAGTGAATCACTTTCAGAAGCTGATTCTGAAACGGAAGATTGCGAAGCAAAATTTGAGAGCTGGATAAAATCTCGACAAAATCCGGAATTAAAACTTTCGAGTAGATCACATGTGCCAGGGCCTTTAGATTTGTCGCAGACGAAAGTGGATGAACCAAAACAACCTGTTTTACAGTTCTACCCAAAAACAAAATTTTTAAATAAGTTTCGTCAGTTCAATAAAGCCTGGTACAATACCTTTCCGTGGGTAGAATATAGTGTCAGTGCCGATAGTGTATATTGTTTTGCGTGCAGACATTTCTCACCTCATGCATCAGATCAAAATTCAAATGTGGCATTTATCAGTGTAGGTTTTAAAAACTGGAAAAAAGCAATGGACCAAACAAGTGGGTTGAAACTGCATAATTCAAGTTCTGACCACAAAAGCTGCATGATCAAGTGGAGTTCTTTTAAACAAATTAAAGCATCTGGAGAAGGATCAGTTGCGGGACAGTTAGGGTAAATGTGTATAAGAGTGCGAATATGTATAAGAGTACGCACTGATGATTTCTGCTTATTAGTGCCATCTGGGTAAGATGATGTTATACCATTCAGAATTTAATGCTAAACCTGAGATAAAGGTGCAAAAGTGACCTGAATATAGTTTATAGTTTGGTCGTACTGACGATTTTATGTTCACACGTTGTGTGGATGTAATTTTTACCGCTCATAGTTTTAGTTTTTTGTAAGGTACGTACCAGTTCTTTTATTTTACAGTAATAATTTTCATATGCTGTAACTTTTAAGGTCTCGTTATACACTAACAGTTTTATAGTTTCTATCCATCAAAAGCTTTTAACTTTGAAAACATTAGGTTATGTATAAATGTACAAGAGTGCGCAGCGAGGTATTGTATAATAGTGCGCATTGCTTGCAATACGTAGTCTAATAGTCTTGGAGATACATATCATACGATAATGAATTATTTAACTGTACTACTTTGTACTGCTTCTCAAGTTGTGTGGTGGTGGTTATGGTGATTTTTTTTTATTTTTACTTCGTGAGCGTGTTGTAATCGAGTCCGTCGACCGACTCTCTATTTTTACGTTTTCTCGACTTTTCAAGACCCCTAGAGTACGAAGAAATAGGTCTCCCGTTTTATGTGTAGTCTGTAGTCACTTATTCCCATTTATTTTCACCTTAGAAACAAATATTTTTTCATAAAATGTAATGCGCACTCATAAGCGTTCAAATGCGCACTCTTGTGCAATGAACTGTCTAACAGTGCGCATTTACACATCTTGACAAAAATTGAAATTACTGTTAAAATATAGTTGTCTTGGGACGTACAATTAAATATATCTGATCTCTAAACATGTATATAACGAACCCATATCATAAAATTTGTCTATCCAAAAAAATTAAAAAGTTGTTGACATTTTTACACTAAGTGCGTACTCTTGTACACATTTACCCTAAGTGAAGCTCATTTGAATTTAGTGAAAGAGAACAGACTGTATGTAAGTATCGTTGTGGATGTTATACTTTATACAGCAATGCAATGTATTGCCCAAAGAGGATCCAAAGAAAATTCAGCGAGTAGTAACCGAGGAAATTTTCTGGAACTGTTATCATTGTTTGCAAAGTATAATGATGTCGTAAAAAAGAAGTTGAATGAAGAGGGTCACAAAAATTCAAAATATACTAGCCCGAAAATCCAGAACGAAATTTTATTTATTATTTCACGAATGACGTTGGAAAAAATTTCTACGGAAATTAACAAAGCGTCATGTTTTGCCGTAATATGTGACGAAACAAAGGATATTAGCAAAACCGAGCGGGTGTCGGTTGTACTTCGATATTATTTGGATGGTACCGTTTACGAAAGATTTATTGGATTCCACGCGGCCCAAGACTTGAATGCAAATTCCTTATTTTCTTATATTAAAAATTTGTTGCAACGGTGTTCTGTAGACATCAAGAGGTGTGTTGCCCAAACCTATGATGGTGCCAACGTAATGAGTGGTCGTGTGGGTGGTGTGCAAAAATTATTTACTGATGAGGTCGAACAAGCCATCTACGTGCACTGCTACAGTCATAGATTAAATCTGGTAGTAGTTGATATCTGTCGCAATTTGACTACGGCAAATTTGTTTTTTGGTTTGATAGAAAATTTGTATGTATTTGTGTCTGGTTCTGCAATACATGCACAATTTATTAATATACAGAAAGAACTCCGTCCAAACAAAAAACCGATTGAACTCAAAAAAATATGTTACACAAGGTGGACGGCTCAAGTTTTCGCTTGCTTATCTTTAAAAAAGGTGTTTTCTGAACTGTTGATTTTGTTAAATAAATTAAGTGTCAGTAAAAGTGCTCGGTCAGCAGAAGCTCTTGGACTTCTACATCAGCTGGACTATACTTTCATATTTAATTTATGCATGTATAGTCAATTGTTGTCTATTTTCAAAAATGCCAGCGATTATCTACAAAATGTCACATCAAATCTTTCAGAAGCAAACATTTTAATAACTTCTATTTACGACACAATAATGAAGATGAGAACTGATGACAAAAATGAAACCTGTGGATGTTTTTGGTATGGATTTATTTATGTACACATATTTACAACGAATGACATTTAAGCAACGTGGTTGTGTTGGAACTCTGCGGCGACGAGGAGCGTGGTGTTCTTGTGATCTTGCTGCTTCTGTGGACGATGGCGGAGAGAGCGAGTTGTGCTTCCATCAGGCCTTTTCTAGTCTCGCTTCTGCGTGGTACGCCAGCCAATTAGCGGTGTTCTTTGCAGGCGTACGGTTGGTTGCCTATAGCGCAGGCAACTTGCTCGCCACAGTACCCCCTCTCCAGTGACGTCGTCACGGGTCATGGGTCTCTAAAACGGACTGGTGTTTTAGTTTGTCGTCCTACTCTTGTTGTTCTGCGACTGATTGTGGGTTCTGGCTGCGTTGTTGTTTGTAAAATTGGCGGTTCGGCTTCTTGTGGAAGGAATGCTGGTTTGACTCTCTCGATGTTGACAGTTGTTGGCTTGCCTCGTACAACAATGGTTAGCGTTTTTCCCCTTCGAGATGTTACTGGGTGTGGTCCGCTGTATGGTTGTTGCAGCGGTCTTCGTACTGCGTCGTCACGTAGAAATACGTGGGTGCATGTATCCAGCTCTGGGTGGACAAATGTGCGTCGCCTGTCATGGTGTGAAGCTGGGACTGGTCGTAGTTGTTCCATTTGTAGCTTCAACTTCTCTACGAATGTGAATGGTTCAGCTGAGGCATCGTTTGTCGTAAAGAAGAACTCTCCCGGAATACTAAGCTGGGTACCGTACGTCATCTCTGCTGGCGAACATTTCAGGTCGTCCTTAATGGCGGTACGTAGGCCCAGGAGTACAGTTGGAAGTGAGTCAACCCAGTTCTCATTCTCTTGGCACATTATCGCAGCTTTCATTGTCCTGTGCCACCTCTCGATGAGGCCATTACTCTGTGGCCGGTATGGTGTTGTTCGGCAACGTTTGATTCCCAACAAGTTCATCAAACTCGTCGTGATGGCTGCCTCGAACTGCCTTCCTTGGTCTGTCGTTATTCGTCGCGGACATCCAAAACGCGCGATCCAGGATGCGTATAGTGTCTTGACCACGGTGTCAGCAGTCATGTCTTCCATGGGGGCGACTTCGGGCCATCGAGTAAATCGGTCGGACATGGTCAGACAGTATCGATATCCCTGGCATGTAGGCAGTGGACCGACGATGTCTACGTGGATGTGTTCGAATCGTTGATCTGTCGGGTCAAAGGAATTAAAAGGAGTTTTTACATGACGGCTTACCTTGGATTTTTGGCAAGCTAGGCATGTTCGAGCCCACTGTTTAATGTCTCGCTCCATCCGGGGCCATACGAACTTGGTTTTGATGGCTTTGTACGTGGCTTTTCCGCTTGGGTGGGAAAAACTGTGGTACTTGTCGAAAACCCTTCGGCGAAAACGGGGTGGTATGTATGGCCGAATGTTCGTGGTTGATATGTCGCACCATATGGGTACCTCAGAATCTGTGGGAGTGAGCTTCCTAAGCTGGAGGCCTGTCGTTGGAGTTTTTCGTAACTCGAGGAATTCTGGGTCAGTCTCTTGTTCGTTCTCTAGGTCTCGAGGTTCTATTATCGTTGGAGTGGTGATTTCGTCGATTCGGGACAGGGAATCCGCGACAAGGTTCTGGTCACCTGTCACGTGAGTGATCTCGGTCGAAAATTGTCCAATAAAATCCAAATGTCGCAGTTGTCGGGGTGACGCCTTGCTGGATTTTTGGTGAAATGCGTACACCAGCGGTTTGTGGTCAGTTCTAATTGAGAAATGTCTGCCTTCAACCATATGCCGGAAAAATTTGATCGCTTCATAAACTGCCAGTAGTTCGCGGTCGTAGGTGCTGTATTGTACCGTCGCGCACCGCCTCGAGTGCCGACGGGGAAATTAGTTTCCCGAATAGTTGCAGGGCTGGTGGCACTTCCGGGCTTTTTCGCCGAATGTCTCATGGTAATAACATAACCCCTTATTCTCGTTGACACGTGTCCGGCTTCTCGAGTTCGAGCGGTGACGTCCGTAGCGGCCATATTTGTTTGTATTATAGCCGCGTCCTCTGTCGGTAACTAGGCGCTCTACTGTTGCCGTCAATGTCGCGATCTGCTTTTGCATGGCTTCCATAGGCGTGGTGCACTGCGTGGTGTTTTCGTCTCCAGTGGCGTTCGTCGTCCTTGTATTCGCTGCAGTCTTTGTTACGGTGGCGATTGCTGCGTGTGGCGCGTTGCTGATGTGGATTTCCACCATCTTGTCTGCCAGCTCCGCAGTGTTTTCGAGTGTTAACCCCGTAGTTCCCGAGAGTACTAACTGTACGTTAGCTGGTAGCCGCTGCAGCCATAACGTCTTGAGGAAGTCATCCTGCATTTGGGTACCTGCGAGGGTTTTCATCTCCCGTAATAATTGCGAGGGCTTCCTGTCTCCAAGCTCCAGTTCATTGAGTAGCTTCCGTACCTGGCGTTCTTGTGAGTCCGTATACGCCCGAATAAGCTTTTGCTTTATCGCGTCGTATTTGTTGCTCTCTGGGGGATTTGCGATGACGTCGGCGACGTGTTGCAGTACGCTGGAGTCCAACGCCGCTACGACCGTGAAATACTTCGTAATGTCCGTCCTTATTCGGAGGCTGTGGAATTGCGCCTCCACCTGCGCGAACCACAGCTGAGGGTCCCGTTGCCAGAAAACGGGAAGTTTCGGGTTTCCGCTGTTACTCACGGTGTTCACTTCTACCTCGTTTGTTGTAGCTTTCGATTCCAGGGCGGCCTTGGCGTCTGCGAGTTCCTTTTCAAGTTGGGCGATTCGTTCAGCGTTCGTCATGATGTTGCTTGTCAATCGGTGCCTGTTCTGTGTTGTTGCGTTTTCTTCTTTCGTCGAGGGTCACCAGTTGTGGATGTTTTTGGTATGGATTTATTTATGTACACATATTTACAACGAATGACATTTAAGCAACGTGGTTGTGTTGGAACTCTGCGGCGACGAGGAGCGTGGTGTTCTTGTGATCTTGCTGCTTCTGTGGACGATGGCGGAGAGAGCGAGTTGTGCTTCCATCAGGCCTTTTCTAGTCTCGCTTCTGCGTGGTACGCCAGCCAATTAGCGGTGTTCTTTGCAGGCGTACGGTTGGTTGCCTATAGCGCAGGCAACTTGCTCGCCACAAACCTTTATGGAAATATTTTCTGAAACATAGAAAATATGTGCTGACAACAACATACCAATAGAAGCAACAGCAAGAAGAAGAAAAATGCCAAAGAAATATATGTCATACTTGGTCACTGAAGAACTAAATAATTTGGAACGCAGTGAAATATTTAATAGAGAAGACTATTTACACAAAATATTTTATCCCGTTCTGGACTTAATTACAAATGAATTACAGAATCGTTTCGAAAAGAATTCACCAATTGTCAAAGCATGCGACGCCTTACATCCCGAGAATCCCTCATTTTTAAACTACGACAAATTATTACCCATGGCACAACATTACCACAGTGAACTCGAAATTTTACAAGCGAAACTTAAAATAATTCCAAATACAATTAAACAATATCAAATAAAAACAAAAGTGAATATTAAAAATATTATGGATTTTATAGACATGCTACAAAAGTACGATCTTGTGTTTCCCGAGATATTAAAATTAGGTGTCATTGGTGTAACAATTCCAGTTTCTAGTGCAGCATGTGAAAGGACTTTTTCGTGTTTGCGGCGTCTTAAAACTTATTTGCGAAATAAAATGTCGGATGAAAGACTTGTTCACCTGGCAATTATCAACATTGAACGAGAAACAGCTAAATCGTTGGACACCTCAAAAATTGTCGATGAATTTGATGCAGCTCATAAAAACCGTCGCATAATTCTACATTAACAACCCATCTCATTCCTGGTAAGATTTTATTAATTTTATCTTGACTACTAGCGAAGTTTTTTTTAACTACTTTTTGAATTGTTGGCATATCATAATGAATACTATATGTATTTCTAGTACATATACATACCTATATACAAAAAGCAAACATATCCGTACAGTAAAGTCACTAACGCATTAACGTGAAAATCTTGATTATTCTACCTCTCAATATTAAAAGTAAATACCTGTCAATTTCAACTATTTGCACCCCATTAAATTTATATACTGGTTGTGATCCAAGTAAAATGTTGATTTATACTAATGAAGACTTTTTTTAAAGGCCCCCTTATTTGAAATTTGTGCCCGGGCTGGGCCCCTCCAAAATAAAAGGCTGGTTACGTGCCTGCACACTAGTGACGTCAGTTATAGGCTACAACTCTCTAAGTGTCGCAAGAATTTAGTTTAATAATATCATATCATTTATTTGTTAAGTCGAATGATTAAATCTACAACACATTCTTGAGAAGTGAATAAATCCTTAACAATTTAGCCAAGGTTTAAAAACTATGATAACTCACACACTCCGATAAAATTGCGATATGTGGCCAAAAATTATAAAAGCCTCGCAAAGTTTAAAATTTGGCCATAAACTGTCAACAAAATGGAGCACTTACGTTGTGTTTTAAAATGACCCAATGCGTTTAAATGCAAAACGATTTTATTATTCAGCAACTTCAGATAAAAAAATAGCAACTTAAGATAAAAGAATTTAAATTTCAGAATTCAAGTTTTTTTTAACTTAAACTAGATAAGATTTTAGATTTTTGGAATTCGAAATTCCGGGATTTTTAATCAACTCTAAACGTGAAATTAGTAAAACTGAAATACGTAGTCCTGAGACGCCAAAGCTGCTAGTCTTTAAATCCCCAAATTGTAACTCTAGAAATTCAAAATCATGAAATTCTGAATCCTAAATTATTAAGTCCGGAAAGCCTGAACATTGACACTCTAAAATTATGTAACCTGCGGTTCACAGTAAAGCAATCCTGTGATTCTCGAAATTTAAAATAATAAAATCCTCAAATTTTGAATCTTGCGTCGGGAAAATTTTGAATGCAGAATCTTGAAATCTCAAGTCCTTAAATTGTAAATCTTGACGCTTTGAATCCTGAAATTATGGAACCCGAAATACACGGTCGTGAATTTTAAAACTGACTGGTCTGATATGCAGAATAGTTACTAAAATCCGCAGCTGAAAAATTTACAATCTTGAAACTCCGAATTGTGTAATTCTAAATCCTTAAATCCTGAACATTTGAAAACCTGAAATCACGAAACCTAAAACAATAAATCTGAAATCTTAAAGCTGTAAATACTGAAATCCTTAATATTAAAATCCTCAAGTTATAAACCCTGATATTTTGACTACTGAAATTCTCAATCTAGTAATCCAAAGCCATCAGGATACGATATCTGCAAAAGCTGAGTGTACGAATCGCGAAATCCACAATGCTGGAATCCTAAAATTGTGAATTCTGAAATCTCGACTTCTAAAATTCTAAGTCTGTACCCTGGATCTTAAAAGTTTGATTCCTGAAATTTACAACTCCTAAACGTCCATCTTAAAATCTGTAATGGTCAATTCTGAATTCTAAGAGTAGGATTCGCACATGGACAAAGTATCACTTTTTACAGGCCGCAGAATCATTAAATGTTTGTTAGTGGTCCAATTTGTTTAAATAATGATGTGTTTATTAAAATCAAAATATATCACAAATTAATGGAAAATACGTCGAATAATTTTAACAGGAATAGCAGAGGAAAATTAATGATATAAGGTTTCACGTAACGATGTAAATTTACAGTAGACATATATTGGTCCTATACAAATTTTATCACCCCGCTTTAACCCCCTTAGGGGATGAATTTCGAGAAATCTGTTCTTAAACGATGCCTCCAGTATAAAATGAACATTCTCTCCAAATTTCAACTTTCTAGCATTAGCGGTTTGGGCTGGGCGTTGATAGGTCACACGGGACTTTGTCTGTTATAATAAGTAATCTATGTATGAAGATTATTGGTTTTTCCAACGCTGCAAAAGATACAAAGATATAGTGAACCAAGAGTTATAAGGTTATATGGCCATCATAAAATCATCCCATTGTGTCGAAGTTAAGTTGTTTACAATAGAAAAGGTTTTAGGGTCGTAAATAACGTGTCCACTGCAGCTCGACCGGCTCTTCTGGTTTCGTTCAGGGGCGGCTTTCACTAAATATGAAAATCCACCACTCCACTATTTCTTTACTACCTGCAGCCGCTGAGGGTTCCGAAATAACCACTCGCTTTGAAAGCCGGCCCTGTTAAATATGAGCAAGAAATGTTTAGAAGATGATTTATTGCCAACCGGTAAGCTTAGTGCGAACCACACAAAGGGGGTATTTATTTGCGGTCAACTACTTTTATGATGGCCATATAACCTTATAGCTTTTGGTTCACTATACATCCATTTATAAAGTTGAAGCTGTAAGCGGGAATTTTTAACTATTAAATAACAAAATTTGTCATTGCGAAATCAGTTAATTGTAGATAAGATTTTATCAATTTATTAAGATCAATAAATAATTTAAGAGCCTTTTGTTAATTCCGCTCTCAAAAAATGAGTAACTGTTTTAATGTACATCCACTGCGACAATGTCTTGGTCTTATTTTATAAAAATGTGGCTCATTTTCCTAGCTGCAAACCTTCTTGTCTTGCTCTATAAGAATATGTTTACAAAGTATGAATTTGTCACAAAATGTTTCTTAAATTAAAAGCAAAAATATTGAGTAACATCTTTTTATTTATTTTATGAAATCAGGGACATGGGACTCCTGTCTAAGCTGATGGAGCTTATTTTCCTAGTTACGAACCTTTTTGCCATTTGAAAATGATATTACAAATGTGTATCAGCAAACGTAGCGAGCGAAATTATGTGTGATCGACTACATTACCAATTTTTTTATTTTTCTAATACCGTTTCAAAGCGTTGCTGCTTTTTTGGCGCCAAATATAAATTTTAATTACGGGTACCAAAACAGTTTGCACGACGTTCTGTGCTCCTTTCATTTAAATTTACAATTTCCTCGTTTCTTGTACAGGTGTTCCCAAACAGTTTTTGCATCCCAAGAGCTACATCATCAAAAACTGCCTCAACTCCCTTCAAATTAAATTAGTTAATTTCATTTAACATGATGTTACTCCTACAATACCTCCTGATCTTGTTTTGTTGAACATTCGCGGTACGAAGTGCCTATACTTCTGGCATATTGGTAGGCTTCGTCTATAGTGACCTAGCATTTTTTTATTTTCAATAAATAAACAAAGTGAAAGCGATATATATATTTGTCTATTTTCTGTTAAATTCATTTTGTTTCCTAACACACATAAGACCATCGGACTTTCAACATATTTTTTAATTCGGCAAACCATTTTTGTACGCTGTTAAATGTCTGGTGTGAAGTGACCAGTGGCGTAACTACCGGTGTTCCGCGTGTTCAGCGGAACACGGGCCCGCTGCTTCAAGGGGCCCGGTCCGGTCACACGAACATTTTTTTATTAGATTTTTTTTATATTATTGTCCAAATTACATTCTGAAATAAAAAATTCGAAAATGTGCGGTAATCCCAGGATCGATGGTCGATCGCTATTTACGAATTTTTTGCTGCAAAGGGCGGCATCTCAATATCATATACTTAGTTTATATCGTAGATTTCGATCCGATCGAATTTCGAGACGATCGAAGTTGTCAAACCCACTTTAATCTACGGGCGTTTATATCACGGAAAACAGTCCGTTCGATCCACTGATTTGTAGTTTGAAATTGGTTTGAGTTTGACGTTTGGAGAAAGATAATAGTGTAACATTATTTCTATTTATCTGTGAAGTGGTCAACATAAATAATAAACCTATAAAAGTTCAAGCCTGTTTACATCG